AAGTCCGTAATTCTTCCCCCAAAGAGCAAGTAGATCTAATAAATGAAATAATAATAATAGCCATAGTAATAAAATAATAATTAATAATGGTAAGATGAAACTGTAATTGCCTGCTAATATAAGCAGCTTCCCGGAGGAGGGACTTCGGTAAGGCTGCCAGGAGGATTTGGTAGCCGGTTCCGCGACAAACAACGCTGACATAAGCTCTGCTCGGGGAGGTAAACACAGGGTAGCTCAGATTTCCGGAGAACAGCGCGGGAGACTTGTGCCCTAGGGGAAAAAAAATTATCATAAGGCAGCAGGAACTATTGCCCGAGTGAGCAGAAAGTACAAATCCAGTGGCAGCGACGCGTGACATTGAAGATTTCTGTGCAAAACTCCGAGACGGCTCGGAAACGCACCGATATTCTGGGGTGATTGGCGTGGCATAGCGGGATCCAGCCTCCGCCTCCCGAGTCCATGGCCCCGTTTCGGCAGCGCCCGCAGGCGCGCCCGGAGCCGCAGCAGCCAGGGCGAGGGGACACGGGCTTTAACTCGCACCTACCAAATCTCTGCGATCTCTGATCCGGGGCTGCTGGTCCCGGGGAGCCCCGGCCCGAAGGTACCAGGAGAGGGCCCGTCTCTCGGTGCTCCCCTCGTGTCGTTACAGCGCAGAGAACAGAGAGAAGTTTGAAGTTTTGCTATTTTTTATTTATTTATTGCATCTAGAATCCCCCGCGCCCAGCAGTAAATCTGCCGACTCTGCTCCCAGGTTTCTAAAGCGCTTGTGCGCCTAATCGCAGCCGGGCGCCGGAGACTGCTCCTGCTATTACACTTCTCCTCAAAGATCCCGATACTTTGGGGGGAATATTTTATTAATTACTATTATTAATTATGACAGATCCCATCAAAGCGCCCACTGCGGGGAATACAAGTCCCAAGTTCCCAGGGACTGCTTTTGCCTCTCCCGCGGGTGCTGCTTCTGTGGTGTTCAAGCAGCCGCAGAGCTCCTCAAATACGGGTGTGAAAGGCATCTCCCGGGAGGGCAATGAGGCATGAAATCTCCCTGTTCCTTTACATAGTAGCAACATCCACATGAAAGGGGAAACACCCGACGTGCCACCAAATATAATTGCATTAGATGGAGGGTATGGGAGGAAAAAAAAAAAAGAAGCTGCTGCTGGTTTCTCTTTCGCCGCGGCCCTTTCTCGCACGCACACCACTAAAGGAGCTAAACCACCTGTAACTTCGGCAGAATTTAACGGAGTGGAAAACCGAGCTACCCGCAGCACAGTCGCTAAACAGCAGGCAGCTGGGGAAGAAGCAGCCCCGGCACTACGGAACGGAGCCGCACTCGGAAGGTGCTCGCTTCCCCAGGCAGGGCCGACAGAGCTTGCAGCCTGCCCAAAACAGCAGCCGGAGCCTTCTCTCCACGATCCTGACCCGTCGTTCACCCCCGCTTCGGGCCGGCGCAGCATCGTGCTGTCGCCGCCCGGACACCGAGAGAGGCGAGAGCAGGGCGGCCCCGGCGCCACGATGAGGGTCGCGGGGCCATGCCGCGCCGACGGCGAGACGCCTCGCCACTTGATCGTTTTGCGGTGACCCCGGTAATTGCTTCCCGCGTCTCTCCCCAGCAGGTGCCCCGCCGGGGGGACTGCCCGTGCCGAACGGTACCACAGGGGCCGCCTTCCCGCCCGGCTGCAAGCCTATCCCTGACCCCATATGTCCCCCGAGGAGCCGGAAAAACCGGCGATGTCCAGGCCGATTTCGTGGCCGCAGCTCGCCGAGCGCCCCCGGCCCCTCCCGGGCAACATTCTGGCAGCAGGAGCTGAAGAAAAGCGTTCCCAGGAACGTGGGAAAGCGGACGGAAAAGAGGGACAGGCAGAGGGGCACAGTCACCTAAGGTGAAAAACTACATTTCCGCGGAGATCGTACCACTCCGAATGTATATTGTCAGGAAGCCGGAACTGGAAAACACAAGACAGACGAACTAGGAGAGGGGGAATCCCAGACAAAAGCAAACTAAAACCCGCCTGCTACAGATCCGGTAACCGAGCCGCTAAACTTCCTCCGAGTCTTTTCCAGCCTGGATTATCGCCGCGCTTGTTTCCCGTACCTTGAAGTGCCCGCTACCCTTCGGGAGCCCGTGAGAGCCCTCCAGGACGGGGCAGCTTGCCTGGCTGGGCCGGGATTTATACTTTTCCCGGGATACACACAACCCTCACACCCACTTTCCTGCATCCTACAAGACACTCCGCGGCACACAAGAAGCGGGGGTCAGGGCTGCCAGCAGGCGCTTTGCGGAACGGGGAGGGGGGCTGGTTCGGCTCGGAGTTTACAGGCCAGGGGAACCAAGCCCGCGCTAAATGATAGGTGGGATGGCGGGGCTTCTTCCCTTCTCCCTCCGGCAGCATGGGAGGGCTAGGGGCCAGATGCCACTTGTTCCCCCGAAGGGGAGCACCGGCGATGCCCAGGAGCCCTGTCCTCCCCCCAGTCCGTGCGGGGGGCAAATGCCCCGCTCCGCTCCCCACCCTGCACGGGTCGAGGGCGGGCAGCCCTCCTGCGGGGCCGGCGGCTGCCTGCCCGCGCCTCCGCGGTGGGCGGCCTCCCTCCCCGCCCGTCACCCCCGGCGGGGCGGGGCGGGTCTTGCCGGGGGCGGGCCGTCGGGCTTGAGGCTGTGCCGCGGCGTGGGAAAGCGTTTCAGAGAGGGTGTTCTGTGTTGGCGTTACAGAGCTGAGCTGTGCCCTGCCGCACCGAAGCCCTCCCCCCCGGATTTATTTATCACTGCTCCCATCCCGGTTATAAGTTGTGCCGCATCCTGTGCCCACGATGAAACGACCGTGTGAGGAAACTACCTCAGACAGCGACATGGATGAGACTATAGATGTGGGGAGCGAGAACAACTACTCAGGGTAAGTGGAACGCACACACACCGTTCCTCCGGGGCCGCCGTCTCCGAGGGACTCGGGTAGAGCGCGGCGGAAACCTGGCTGCCCCGGCGGGGGAGCGAAAGGGGGTGGGGCTGTAGTGTCTTCCTCCAGGTCAACCAGTAGCTTATTGAAAGACCAGTTTGCCCCGTGGTATAGCTGCCCGAGCCTCGAAATAATCCGGAGCACTCAAGTAGCTTGGGAGACATCAGGCTGCAGTTCATTAGCTCCGCTTAATTTGCCGTTTTCAATCAGATCTTTTCCAAAATAGCTCCTGAGCAGGCCGGACAACCTAAGGGAATGTGCGCCAGCGGGCAGTGAGCTGTGGAAAGTAATCAGGGAGCCACGGCACCTGAATGGTAACTTCTGCAAGCCGAGCGTGAGCCGTGTTAGTCGAGAACATGGGATGGCTGGGAGTCCGGCGGGACCCTGCTGGCCTTCACAGCTAGTCTTGCCAATTTAGGGACACATGCTCTGGAGCCCTGTCGCGTCCAGATCAGTATTAAAAGCTATCGGATATTTTTGCTTACACATGATCAAATAAAAGCCTTTCCATGCTCGTGGGTGGTGTAGGTTTAAAAGTGGATTTTGAATTCTGCGCCTAATGTGGGACAATGCAGCAGATTGGGGTGGGCAACTGACTTGAGCATCTACTGACTCGAGTAGCAATGGTCAGGATGTCAAAACCTAGCAGGTCAGGTAGTGGTTGTGGTGTTGGATACCTCTACTTACCACCACTGTTAGCATATGGACGTGGTTCACGTGGGTTTGCACTCGGTTCTTCAGCCTGTGTTTGGTAGGCAGGGCTTTGTATGCAATGGAAACGAAATCTCCTGGGCAGGAGAGTGACCTGTCTCCAGAAAGGGACTTTATTGCTGACAGGGTATTCTGTCCATTCGAAATATATTCTGGAACTGTCAAAAATTAAATGTTTTCTTTAAAAATACTGTGCAATGCAAAGCACATCTTCTAAGCACTGAACAGCAGGTGAAGGACTATGCATAACTAATAACAATGACCTAAGGTGTCTTCAAAGATCAGTGCCAAGTTGTGCAACACCTGACATACTTTTATTGTTTCACAGGCAAAGTAATAGTTCTGTCATTCGATCAAATTCCCCAACAACAACATCTCAGATTATGGCTAGAAAGAAAAGAAGAGGGGTACGTTGCATTTAATTATTTTTCCGTGTGAGAATTTGCATGCATGCTTTGATTTTGCCCGTTGACATTTTTTCTAAACTTAACATGTTTTGGTTTTCTTTGGGAATAGATTATAGAGAAAAGGCGCCGTGATCGTATAAATAACAGTTTATCAGAGCTGAGGCGGCTTGTGCCAACTGCTTTTGAAAAACAAGTAAGCCCTTTTTTTTCCTATTTTCAAATTCTGTATCTCATCTGGCAATATTAGTTCTCTTGTAAAAGTCATTAAAATAATACTGTATGTGTCCTGATCTGGCACAAAGCAGGCATTTCAATAAAATGCCTTGTTGTGGCAAAACTATTAGAAATATAATTCATTATAAGGCTGAAAAACATTTCCATTCTTTGGCTTGTTTTTCCCTTAAGGGTAACTCTGTTCATGTTGCCTCTGTTCTTTCAGTGAATTCCAGTAGTGGTTTGTTAAAAATGTGCTTTATTCCATATTAAAAAAAAAAAAAAATCAAAACGACCAACAAACCCAACACAATTCCCCCAAACCTGGGTGTCAGTTTGCCTTCTGTCTAAACCTTTAAATATAATCTGCTTCACACCTACTTTAAGAATCCTTTATTTTTTTAATCTGTCGTTTCAGTTGCAAACTAATCAACCCAGTTTCCTGAAAAGGGAGCAAGTAACCTGCATTACTCACATTTTAGAGTGACTGTGTAGAAACAGCGCGTTAGGAAGGGACCATGAACCATGAAGTCAGTGATACGTTCAAAGACATTCAGTGAGAAAGTATGCAGTGCAAAGGCTGTAAGGATCCAGCTAGCTTTGGTTCAGCTCCTTGGTCAGGCCAAAAGTTTAGAATACAATTTGTCCTTTAAAAAAAGAGCATTTTGTTTCTGCCATTCAAATGTTTATTTTTCCACACCTTGATTTGTATTTATTTTTTTAGGGTTTTGGTTCAATACGTAGTTTTATTCCTGTTTTGTTGGATGTATCTGAAGATGTATGGATATGTGCAGTTGACACTACATTGCGATAAAAAGACCCAACTGAAAATAAAGAACCTGACTTCCTTGTAATAGTAAAATGAAATAACAGAAAGTAGAATTTGAGAGCAGGATTGTGAGGCGCTGAATGTCAGTGTTAATTATGTGGTAGGTACCGCACCATATTAGGTCTGTTACATCCTTGGTTTGAACAAAACCTGGTTATAGAGAAATTTGAAGTATTGTAATTGTGATGACAGCATCACCTGTCACCTGCAATATTGTTTTGGTAACTACTAGTTGTAGTCATGCCGTGGTGGAGGTTCTAGCAAAACAGTGACAGAGGTATCTTCAGCTAGATAAACAGGGTCAAGAGACAACGGTTGTTTGTTCCATTTTATTGTTTACTTCTTGAAAACCACAAACATTATAAAGCAAGTCCTACAGAGCCTTTGGAAATTACCCAGCACCATGCAGTTTTTAGCTATTAGTCACTGTTACTGAGACAGTTTGTACTGTGTCTATGGAAAAGATGAAGTCTGAGAAAACTACAGGATGTAGTTGCATGTAAAATGGGAATTCTGACCAAAAATTCACACTCACACCAACCTTTGCACAAGGAAAGCGCCAAAAGCAATAAGCAGATCAAAAATAATTTAGTGTCAAAATGAGTGCATGCTGTATTTTGCTCAGAAAGACCCACCATTTTTATGAGATATGCTAAGGGCAAAGTCATCAGCCGTCTTCAGCTCCTTGACATTCAGCTCACTGGAGTTTCCAAGTTGGAGTTTTAGTTTCGCTTCTGCATCGCTCTCTCCCTCCTTCCTTCCCCAAATCAAATTGCAGCTCTGCGCTCCAGAATCCTTCTCAGAGATTAGAAAGCCTCGATGAAGCAGGGCTGCAGAGGGGGAGGGTGTAAGCCTTGCCTAACCTGCACGTGTGAGGCTTCAGAGTAGATAAATAGGAGAAAAATTTGGCTTGTGGGATGTGATCCACTGGTGACTGCAGTTTGTGCAGCCCTGGTGTTGGCTGATGCCAAGGGACAGTATCTTGCACTGGAATAACATTTGCATGGTAAACTCGGTCATCTGGGTGTTCTCCAGATTTTGAAGGAAATGCTACCATTCAAAATAGCTTTATTTATAAATTAATATGTTAATACAACCTTTTGAGTTGTATTTGGTAGTTTTCCATCACCTATTGCATCTCTGAGCCACCCTCACTAACAGAAAAGATTTTTACTGGCAGAGGAGCTGAACTATTTCACAGTATTTAGCTTCACGTACCAGAAAACTAGGCCTTTTGCTAACTTAAAATATTGTGGGTTGTTTTTTCAGTCGAGAATGAGTATAGAATAGTCAGCAGCCAAATGATATGTCGAAAATTAACAAGCTATTAAGGAAGAGGGATACTTTTGGGTGTATGTGTCCACAGGGACACCTACTGGTAAAGGCACAAAAGAGTATGTTGCTCCAGGGTCTTCATCGATAACTGCGCAGACCTGACCTGCCAGCCCTCCGTTTCTGTCTGTTGTTAAAAAGAAAGCCCAGGAAGTTACCTGTTTATCTCACTTCATGAAGATGTCATCTCTACACTATCTTCAAGGCCAGAGCTACCCTGAGCTATAGCCTTAATAAAGCAAAATCGTGCTGCTGCTTGTATAGCTAGAGCGGAGACAGCATTAGTCCTTAGACAAGATCTGGGAGGCAGATGCTCACGAAAGAATTAAGCTGACAATGTCCTAATGATAGGGGAAATTGAAACCATAAGGCTGAGCTCAGTGGAAAGTATATCAAATTAAAGTTTCTCGTACTTGTAAGCCTTTATTTATATGAGTCTCTTTATCTCAAAGGGATCTGCCAAATTAGAAAAAGCGGAGATACTGCAAATGACAGTGGATCATCTGAAGATGCTGCAGGCGACTGGAGGTAAAGGTAAGGAGCCCATGGTTTCTTTTCTAATATTCGGGGAAATCTCAGCAAAAAAAGTGCTTTGATGAGCTGCGTTTCCAGATTAAAGGAGTGGAAATCAATGCTAATGGCAGGATTGAACTCGTGGGAAAGAACTACTGGGACAAAAGAAGCACTTGACCCTGGGCTTGTGTTTGCTTTCATAACACTGTGGGAGTAAAGGCTTCATTCACAGGCAGCCCAGTCAGAGATTTGTTTGGGGTTTCCAAAGAGCACTGAAATCTGCACAGGGAGACAAAACAAATACACAAACACCAAACATAAACAGGAGGTTTGTGGCAACAATTGTGCAGCTAAACCTCATTATCCAGCAGCTATACCGAAGGAAGTGGATGGAGAGGAACTTTCATTGTTGTTTATGTATTTTCTTTGTTCTGGAAAGACTTTTAAATGCCAGGTTAGACTGTCTTGTTCCCCAGAACAAAACCCAGACTTGCTCTCTGCAGCTCAGGTACCTGATAAAGCAGACTCTGAGTTCACATTTGCATGGTGTATTTGTATGTCAGAGGTCTGGGCAGCTCCCTGGGCACTGGCATGACGCAGGGGCTGCACTGGCTGACCCGCTGGATCAGCCGACTGCTGGGAGCCAAGCGCACCTCACTTGTGCAAGCTGACAGTCCTGAGGCTGGAGGCCAAGTGATTTCAGCCACCCACGAGGTATTCTGTGTAGTCATGGGTTTGGAACTTATTTGGACTGAAAAACTTGCCGGTCTCCTGTAAGCACAGTCTCACGTCCCGTGCCATCGACCGTGATTATGGTTCAAATTGCTGTAATGGAAACCAGCCGATTTTTCATGAACCCACTGGCTCTATAGGTAAAGGCTAGAAAAGAAGCTGCTGTTGCTCTCTGTCTTCCTTTTTTGATTAAAGTTTTTAGTCAGTGATTGAATTACTGCTCCTCTCTGTACCTTGCAGTGATTATAGCACTCAAAATTGGCGCATGCTTAGCAACAGATGGTTATGGGAAAACATGCTGGAGGCTGATACTCTGTTGTTTGTGAAAATTGACACCAGGCTGACATACCTATTTTCTAGGTGTTAAGAGGCTTTTGTTGAGAGTCCACTTAAGCTTAAAATTCATAGGTAACTTGTTCTATAAGCTGTGAAAGGAATTTTCTTGCCCTTCATATAACAAACATGCCTCTTGATTCCTCAGAAAACGTGCAAAATTAAAAGAGGTTCATATTTATATCTTACAAGTGTCTTTTAAAAAGCACTATTTAGTTGGTAAAGCTGCACTCTTGAAAGTTATGAAACACTGGAATTGATTGTGCTTGTGCAATTTAAATTCAGACCCTGTGTGTGTGTGTGTGTGTGAGATGGTGCCGTGTTCAATTGCATGGTGGCATGTTGGCTTTACACAAGCTGTGTCACCTAGTGCACAGATTGAACAGTGTTCTGCTGCTGGGGGAAACGATGGTTGTTCTGCTTTGTCCTCCCCATGCAATATGCAGCTCAGCTAACCCACCCAACCTGACCCTGCTTTGCGCTCCTCTGAAAAGCTGAAGCAGCTCCCACCCCTCCAATGTCTGAGCTGATAGTGGGAGACCAGGAGGTGAACCTGACTGGGGGCTTAATTTAGTATAAACCCCCCTTTACCTGCCTCTCTACCCCAAAAAAACTTATAGGGGGTTATTTTATAATTGGGTCAGGTGAGGTGGCCCAGCCAGTGGGGCAGGGAACAAAGTGCCTGGGATGGGAGCTGCTGGGTGGAAAGAGGTGTCAGCAGAGCCCCGGCATCTGGCTGCTGCAGGACAAGCTGGATTTTGTGAGCAGTTCCAGGTCAATGCGGTCTCTTCCTTTGTCTGCCACCACAGCCATGCCTCTCCCTGCCCTGGCTAACACCAGCGTGCCTGTGGCTACTGGAGGCCAGTGTGGGGAAGGATGACACATTGAGGTGCTGGGAGAGGTGATTCTGGTTTATACCCAGAGCTGCCTTCCATTCACCCCATGGTCCATAGTGGGTGGCACATCCATATAATACTCAGTCACTTCACAAATACTAGAGCTTTATCTTCTCCCTCTGACCTAGAGATAAGAGTAATCTCTCCCTGCCTGGATTTAGAAACTTTAAGAAAAAGAGGTTTGCCAGTTAGTACTGAGCAAAGTTTAAGCCTGCATTTCCTGCTTGCTTAACGTTTTACTTTGCAGCCTAAGTAACAGCTTTAAATATAATTTTTAGGGTGTTTTTAAGGCAGAAGTTTATTTGCAAGTGTAGTTATTTCTACTTTGTAGCTCATCTTCTGAGCCAGAAACATTTTTGGATCAGGATTAAAATGAGTTCCAGCAGTTTTCCTATGTACAAAAGCTGTTACTGCAGCAGGGCAAAATGTGGCCTGATGCCCTCATGGTCCCCTGCATTGAGGAACTGGGGAAAGCTCTTCCTCCTCATGCAGAAATGGAGGACACCCACGATGGGGAATGCCTGGGGCTAGGTAAGCTGGGCTGACTGAGTCAGCCACTGCTCAGCACGCTGAGCCTGAGGTGGGCTTGGCAGAAGAAAACCTAACGTGGCTCCTGTCTCTGCTCTGCTTTGCAGAGCTCTCCAGGCAGGTATGCCACTGCCTTTGAGGTCCTGCATGGATCCATGTTTCTGCTGCCTTAATGCAGGTGTGGGCAATGGTCTCCTGTGCATGTTGAGTTATGTTTTGGCCTGAGTCCAGGAATTTTCGCTGACCCTGCAAACAAGCGCAGGGGAGGAGTAATTTGTCAACAGTGAGTCGCTTGCTGAAACCTTGGTGTGGTTTTATTGCAGCTTCACTGCAAATTTAGTTTGGGTGACTGACACCTGAGTCAGCAACATGGGTTAATATAGCTGGAACGACTCAGCCTGTGTCCTGTGTGCAGAGCAGGTAGGTTACCAGGATAGCCCAAGTAAAGCTGGCATACCCCACTCACTGCATAATGCTAGCCTGTCCACGTTGTGGGTGGTGGTGGAGGATGTTCTTGGATTTTGGAAACAAACAAGAAAAATATTTTTCAGTCTTTCTGAGAAGAGGGAGGACGGCAAAGGGGAAACCTGGAAAAGATAACCATCAAAATCAAAATATAATGGAGCCTGGGAGTCCCAGCTCTCATCTCCCCTCTGTTTTCATGTCTCAGCCACCATCGGAGACTGAGAGGGAGCCAGGATCACCAGGGCTTTGGGGCGGCTCATCACAGAGCCAGCAGCTGAGACTCCAGAGAAGCTGGTGGCAACCACATCCCCCACGTCTCCTCTGGTCTGGAGAGAGGCTGGGAAGCCCTGGCTTGAGCCACGGCTCTCAAGACTCCCAGGCTGGCTGACTTGTGGCCAGAGCTGGGAGGCAGGTTTGGCTGCATGTCAGCCCCTCTGAAGCTGCCAGAGGTCCTGGAGCCTCCGGCATGGAGTCAGTCCCCACGCCAGGCTGGCTGGCACCCGAGCAGGTACCCTGCTAGCTTGCCACCGCTGCCCTGCCTGGCATTTGTTTCTCAGGAGGGCACTCAGCCGTGGTGTTGTCACAGATCCCTTGGTTACAGTGGGCTTAGCAGGAGAAAAGCTGGGAGGAATCAGTGCTTGCTGACACAAGACCTCAGGCCCTCATGCTCATCAATCTGGTGGTCAAACTGGTGCTTCTCCTAGGTTTCGTACAGCCTCAGCTGAGCAAGGTGGATTGAAGCAAAAGTGCTGCCGAAATTTGGCAAGAAGGGGTGTACAGTGAGCAGGGAATTTGGAGGGACAACTATAAATGTGTCCAGGTGAATTCTATAATGCAGGAGCGCAGCAATGGAAATGTTCCTTTCTATCTTGAAAGTTGATACCAGTGCAACAAAAAAAAAAAAAAAAAAAGCCATCTAGGATGCTAGCATTTTTCAGAAAGAGATGATTCATGCCAGAGAGCACAAGTCCTAATGCAGCTATTGCTGCCACTTTACTCCGTAGTAAGGGCACTCAATCTTCATATACTAGCACACATCATAGTCACGCATACCTAAAAGGTTCACTGACAGAGGGGGAAAAAAAGCCATGCCAGCTTGGGAATGGAATGGACATTATTCCCCCAAGGAGAGTACTTTTAAACTTAAGTAGGAAAATTCCAAAAACTGGAATAGGTTTTTGTGGTTGAAGAGCTGCAGCTTGCAGACTAGGATTTGATGCTAGACCCTTTTAGAAAGGGAATATCTTTTCATGTGCATTTAATAAGGATTTTTTTTTTTTCCAAAAGCTTTTTTGTCCCAAGCCCGCGGAGCTCCAGTTGCTGTTTGTTGAAATACCTCATGGGCCATATGACTGTCAGTCTTCCATCTCCAAATTAGCAATGGCATTACATAAAACGTTTTCTCAGTAAAGCTTTTTATTGTGTGTGTGCAGAGTCATGACAAGATGTTTTTAGTTTGCAGTTAAGTAACACCGTATGTCATATTGTCTTAATGACTCTGTGAAGTAGATGGGACCTCAGCAGCAGTTACAACAACTATCTCACCATGTCGAGAATTAGTTTGAGAGCGTTAGGATGAATGCCAGCACAGGGAAGACAAGGCAGGGTAGTACATGCAAGCTCTCTGATCCTCAGCCTGTTTCTTTGTGTGAATAAACGTCTCTTTCACACACATGTGCAGAATCAATACAACACTGCAGCAGCTAGCTGAGGAATTTCAGGAGAGGCATCATGTATCTTTTTAAGTATCATGAGTACTCATGGACTTAATTCTTTTCATTTGTATATTGTCTGCAAAAACAACTGCAACCTATTGCATTACAGGAATGGCCACGCAAATCATTTACAGATCAGAGAACAAACTTTTTGTGTTGCAAATCTTAACCCGTAAGTGGGAGACGCAGCAGCTGCGCAAGGACCAGGTTGGCCATGTCAGCCAGGAAGCTGCCTCAACATTCAATGCATCTTTTGCCCTCCTCCTCTCACAGGTTATTTTGATGCCCATTCCCTGGCCATGGATTTCATGAGCATTGGCTTCCGGGAGTGCTTGACAGAAGTCGCGAGGTACCTGAGTTCGGTGGAAGGCCTCGACACGTCAGACCCACTGCGTGTTCGACTTGTGTCTCACCTGAGCACCTGTGCCTCTCAGAGGGAAGCTGCCGCCATGACCTCCTCCATGGCCCACCACCACCACCCTTTGCACCCTCACCACTGGGCAGCTGCCTTCCACCACCTCCCTGCCGCTTTGCTGCAGCCCAACGGACTCCACGCCTCTGATGCCACCCCGTGCAGACTCTCCTCGGACGTGCCCCCCCACGGCTCTGCCCTGCTCACGGCCACCTTTGCCCATGCCGATGCTGCACTTCGAGTCCCCTCCACTGCCAGCATCGCTCCCTGCGTCCCTCCTCTCTCTACCTCCCTCTTATCCCTCTCAGCCACCGTGCATGCCGCAGCAGCGGCAGCTACAGCTGCTGCCCAGAGCTTCCCCCTCTCTTTCACCAGCACCTTCCCCATGCTCCCCCCCAGCGCAGCTGCCGCCGCTGTGGCTGCAGCGACAGCCATCACCCCGCCGTTGGCCGTATCAGCCACTGCCAGCCCTCAGCAGGCTGGCAGCGGGGGCAACACCAAACCGTACCGACCCTGGGGGACTGAAGTTGGAGCCTTTTAAGTGCCCCGTCTCCCTTCCCAGTCCAGCTCCCTCCTTTCCATCAGCACACGTGCACACAAAGTCCCATGTGCCCACACGCTCCCAGACACGAGCCTTCAGGACTCAGCGTGTCCTTCCTGCTCACCCAAAGGGCCTGGGAGGTGCTGGTAAGCCTGCCAAGGAATGGCACAGCTATCCTCATTTCAGGCATCGGAGAGGACATGGAGTGATACCTTCTTCTTCTCATTCTGATTTGCTGGAGCCATTTTGAGGGAGCAGCAGTGGCTTTCATAACAGCGTGATCATGTCAGCATGTAGAGGTTTCCTGGGAATACATAGAAATATGTAGACATTAGAACTAATAATTCTCCAGCTATGCATCCTTCTTTGGCAAAGTGGTGAGGGATAGCACCTACCAGGGCTTCCCCAGGCTAGAAAAAGAGTTTGACTTTAATAAGTGCCTGACATTGAAAAAAATAATAAATAAAAAATTATATATATATATATGTGTGTTCTGCTAAAACAAGTAACATTGCACAGGTATGGAAATGGTATGGGAGAGAGGAGAAATTCTGCATTCAACTTCAGAAGTGGGACACCTTTCCACGAAAGAGCATGCTTCTGAAGGGGACAGGGGGTTTTAGCCAAAATATTACTGAGGAAGATTGTTCAATTTGACAGGCCTGGTTCTCGCTTCCTTAGTTCACTTTCTTTGTACAGACTTGCCAGGTTGTGACATCTAGCATAGCATTGGTAAAAGCAATTATCTTATCAGTGCTGGGATTAATGAACGTTTCAGCACTGCCTGTGAGCCTTGAGGCACCCTTTTTTATGGTTTAAATATGGTGCTAGCTCCTATCTGCACAGTGAATTTGTCATGCACCCAAAAGTAAACACCTATTTAAATTGTGCACACTTGGATGCAGTTGATTCATGCCAATACAAGAGACTCAGTGTTTTAAGAGTTCAAATTCACTTATTTAGTTGTATTTGGACATTTAGCTGATTCTGTGCAAGATTCCTCTTCACTATCAACTTCTGGGAGAACGATCGCTCTGGGTATGAATGAAGTTATGGTAGGGACAGTTTTAAAATTGGCTGTTAACATGCCAACATTGTAACATGGGTTTGATTCCAAACCAAAATGAATGTATTAAGGGGGGTGTGAGTAAATTATTTTGTCAATACCCAGACAACTAGTGCTGCATAAAATGGTTTGCTTTCATTTTTTATTACAGTGACTTAAAATAACCTAAGTATTTTAATACATCCAGTCAAGAACTAGAGATTTTATGTAAAAAAATTAAAAAATAATAAAAATAAAACACAGCATGTATTATTATGCACTTGATTTCTCTGCTGTGTGGAGAAAGCAATAAGCAGTGAGAATGTTAAACATTATGCAAAATATACTTTAAAATATTTGTTTTAAAAATACTGTACCTAGTTGGTCTTTTATGCATTACTTTGTTAACCTTTTTCTATGCAAAAGCCTTTACATATCACTAATTAAACGAAGTCCTTTTTGACTGTGTTTTATGGATTATTTGTTGCAGTTTTTGTTTGCTCTTGAGGAATACTTGTGCACTCAAAGTCAATTTGTGCCACAGGTAACAAGCCTGTAGGCTGCTCTGTCCTCTGCTGCTCCCCTTGCTCAGGCATGAAGCCTGTCTTACACAGTGTGCTCTGAAATAGGCAGAAAAAAAGCAGTTGGTAGAGCAACATTGGTTTTCAGGCTTGTAAACTGGTTCTGCACTGACAGTATGCTTAATGATGCAAACCCATCTGCACATTCTGGGGAGCCCCCAAAATGGTGGGAATTTCTAGGTTCAGCTTTCCTTCAGATCCCGACTATGAGCCCGTGTTTAGAAGGGGAAGAGTGTAAGCCAATGACATCATTAAATATCTGGATTGAGAGGGTAGCTTTTACTTCCAGTTCTGGTCTTCTAATTTACCGGTTCTTACTGAGGCAAGGGTTTGTTATTGTTGCATCTGAATCTGCAAAGCCCATCTGTAGAAGGGCTATAAAGCTCTGCTCTTAAGGATAAGCACAAAGTCTTACATGCCCTGAAGACAATAAAAGATTATTATGCCCAAGGAGCAGCTGACAAGACTGAGCCATAGAAACAGGGTGATCATCCTACAGCCAGATAGAGACTTCATCTGTCATCAATATGCAGCCTCAGCTCAGTGGCTCACCCCATCATCCCTTTCTCTCAAATGTTAAGCATGTAACCCATCCCCACCTGCACCAACTGGTCTCCAGCACCCAGGCGAGTAGGGATAGTGATTTGCTTGAACAGCAGGCAGTCCCACGGAGAAAATGGACAAAAGAGGGGGAAGGCAGCTTGCTACCCCTGCACTGTAAATCGTTGATATTCTTTGAAGTTCTGTTTGAGGGAAATTTGACATTTTCTAACTCGGGGCACAAATGCTGTACTACTGTTCAGGCGTCTTTAGCTACATTCAGTTCAGGTGCCATTCACTTTCTGCAGTTTCAAGAATAAAAGACATTAGCCAACTTGCAAGTAGATGAAAAGTCGGCTTTATTTACATGAAAAAGAGCAGGATGCAGCCCTACTTGACTTTAGGCTGTTAACTATTAACCTGCCCTCTAAAAGCCTGGTAGGAGGTTTCACAGGCATCTTACTGTGTTAAAAATGGGCAGCCAGTAACTTGGTTTTACCTAAGGGCTTCACTCTAACTGATGTGCCCCCAAACATAACCATTTGTTGCTGCAAATGCAACATTTTGCCTAGTTCTAAATATAAAACGAGTCCGAAAAAAGAGAGGCCTTTCAGAGTTTCTGAGATACCAATTAGACAAAAGTATAGTTATTTTAGTACTCTGGAACAGCACCATGGATGGATTTGTGCATCCAGTGTGTTTAGGCTTATCCCGTTTTCACTGTCACAAAATAGGCCAAATTCATGAACACTGGGTTGCAGATGTCTCCTCTATTTCTTGTTTTGTTGTCTTTTAGATTGTTCTGTCTTTTAACCTGAGTCACCTAAAGGGTCCAGGAAATGAGATGGGAGTTCAGTCTTCATGCCTCTTTATCCCTAGCTTCTGTTGGGAATGTTACCTCCCTGGAGTGGATGAAAATTTCCCAAACGAAAAACTAGTGGAGAAGCAGCCTATTTCACATGTGCTGTTGGAAAGGTATCAGAGAGTAATAGCCTCTAATGGCTTTGGCTGTAGCTATAGGAGTCTATGTAATGTTTAGGACAGAGCAAGGGTAAGCTGTTTCCTTGGCATAACCAAGATCCAAAAGGCAGGATTTGTGTCTGTGCACATGCAACCTTTCCTCAGCCCTTTTCTATCTTACTCTGCATTCAATGATGAATGGACCTGAAGGAAGAAGAAAGTCTGTGATTTATATAATTTAGGATTAGATCATAGCACATAGCACAAGAAGACAAACCAGGCTGCTTGCTGAATAGTAAGCAGCTGGCTTTGAATAACTTTTCAATGGGTGGGTTTGCAACCTTAAATTCCAGTTATCAAGAGGATCAAAGAAGGTTATGCAATTTCCTAGAATGTTTTTCTTAAGAGGAAAAACCTAAAAACCAATTCTGTCACTCAGCATTAACAGGCTGGAAACCTTAGCCCTCAGCAGTGCAAATAAGAAGCACTTAAGCTGCCGAGAGAAGATTATTACCCTAGAGAGGAGATGGGCAACAGAGGAGTGGTGCTGCCTGTCCTCCTTTGGCTTTGATTGCGACTGGAGGAAATCCGGCACTAGGTATTGCCCCAGAAGAAAAACCGGCTACTGCGGCTGAGGGCTGAATGCATATATTCAAAACAGAATAGCCTGGCAGTTGTTCAGGCAGATGTAGTCACAGCCAGGAGGTGTCAGTTCACGCTGCTGCCTCCTTACTGTGAGCCTTTAAAATGTTTGCAGCTATTCTGAAAAATGATACTTCAATCAGGATGCCATGAGATAGGTAAAGGGCATTTACCGAGGCCTGGGACTTGAATATTAGCAAGTTCTTAGAGGTATTGTAAAGGAGGTGTTTGTTCTTAATAGGAAAGGTCACAAGCATCTTTTCATCAGAAGATACGACATCAGAAAATACTACTGAAGAGTGGACTGTTAGCAGCTCTTTAGTCACCAGTCTCATTAGTCATCTGCTTTTATAGGCACAGATAGCCTTGAGATCACACAAATGAGGAACTGAGTCATCTAATAGTCACGGATGGTTTTGTTCAACTTCGAAAAAAGATAAAGGAATTGGTATGGCTTTGTTTGCAAGCAATCGTGTGCCCAGCCTCATTTGTGTGAGGTTGTTACCTGAAACTGAATATTATTTTACTAAACCCTGGCATTTTGACTTGTGCTCTGTTCCTCTACTTCAGTATTTTGCACAACACAGACTTGTGTTTTGGAAGCTGGTGCATAAAGGCCTCAGAACAGATGACCACAAGCAATACATCTGACCATGACCAGAAATTATAAGCAAGGGAGCACCAGGCATGTGCTAGAAATGCTGGGATCTCAATTTGAGGGTGAACTCAATCTTTCGTGATTTGCAAATAGAACAAAATTTTGACAGATAATTACCTGCAAAAAGGTGGTTTGGTTTGGTTTTGGTGGGATTCCTTTTGATTGGTTGGTTCCTCATGCTCCAGTAATTGCTACTGCTGGAAGATGTAAAATGCTATTAATAAGTAAGTATAATCACTTAGTCAGTATTCAGATGCCTAAATATTTTCCTTCTCCTAAGCTGGGCTCCAACTGTCACTCTGGAAAGTGCAGGTCTCCCTTTGTGTCCTGTGTCACTTCTGCCAGCACTGTGCAAATGCCTGGGAAACTCAAGGTTGCTTAAGTGGCACTTAAATATATATGGTCAGGCAACTGAATTTCTCCTTCTCCATCTTGTATCATCCCTGGATAGGATTTGAAGCTTAATAATATATTTTCACACTTGATTTAATGTTTTCAAAGAATCAGCTTTCTTCTCACCTGAAAAAAACCAACAGAACAGCATCAAAATTATTTGATGATAATGTGTTGTTATATTCTATCGAGCCTGTAAAACTAAGACCAGTCAACACCTCATTCAACACTAACTTCAGAGTTTCTTTTAATGGTCTGGCTGC